GGACGCTCGGTGGTCCCGGGTGCTCCTTCACACTACTCTTCTCTGCATCTTCAAAAAGTTTTTCACAAGAAGCATCTATTACATCCATGATCAAAAATGAAAAGTTTTCTTCAGCGTATTTAAGGGAGCTTGTTATTGAAAGAACTCCTGGAGCCAGTTACTGCATAAAGCAAACAAACAACACCTAATTCATACATTTTATTTAAAATCTCCCCGCGTCTCAGAACGCCGGATCTTCCCACGCGCACAGTAGGTCCGTGGGAGCGAGAGGCAGGCCATGTGCCTTTGGGAGCCCTTTCGGGGCCAGCAGAGGGCTCAGCACATGGGGCGACCATAGGGGCTGCCTGAGCTTGGTTCCCGCAGACAAAGTTTGTGCTTTTTCCTTCAAAAAGGGCCTCAAAGTCTGAATTCTATCTTTCTGTGCAGTGGGTATTCAAACGTATTGAGCCAAATGAGGACACAGGGAAATGAAAAGAGAATGGAAAAGGGCATTCGTGCTGGGATTACAATGATGAGGAACAGACGCGCGCCGCAGACAGGGGCAGGAAGGGACCGGCGGGAAGGGAAACAGAGCGTGGGGGCGGAATTATGAGTCACTGTTTTCGTTTACTTAATTTCTCAAGCTGAAAATTTTTCAAAACTAATATAAGCATATTTTACAGCTCACAGAACATTTACAGCTTATTAAAGTGAGTATCTTCCCACCGTACGGTACCCGATTGAAATTTATGAATTCCGAGCCACATTCTAGGGAGACGGAGGCACTGACACGCCACGTTCCTCAGACTCATCAGCTGGATTGTGTTGTTTTCCTCCCCATCAGAAAAGAAATAGCATTTCAGTAAATGTTACCTTGCATCAAGGGTTCTTCCACGTTCTAGAAGCTCGGGTGGGCTCTCATGTGAAGGCCTACTGTGCCCCCTAGTGGCGAAGAGGATTTATGCACTTAAAACACAATCCTTTCCCAAAGGCTGGAAATGAAATCCAAAAATTTTTCGTCTTTATTGATCACTTAACATGCACAAAACCTTGTGTCAGGTGCTACCGAGAACATAAAAATGGGTCTGGTGCAGTTCCCATGCTCAAGAAGCTTACAGGCCACCAGGCGGAGCAGATGTGGTCCTGCGAGTATGCAGCTAGAACGAGGCGGTACCACAGAAAGGAGGGGAGAAGACTCCTGGGAGAGCAACAACGCGAGCACACAGTAAGCGCCTACTATGTGCCAGGCACCACACTAGGTAATTCATATCCGACATTATTTACTTTTCACAACAACCCAGCAAGGCATACATTATCTCCACTTTACATACACTGGTTGAGGCTCAGAGAAGTTAGGTAACTTGCCCGAAATCACACAGCCGGTCATGGGCAGAGGGAGGATTCAGACTAAAGTCCTGTGACCCCAGCCCCCAAGCTCTTCCCTCCTTCTTGATCCAGAGGGGGGAAAGAAGGCACTCTGGCAGACTTTAACGAAAAGACAAGGGGACAGGCACTCTAGGAAGCGAACACAGAGTTGGGGGGTGTCCTGTCCCATGACCTCTTCCAGCTCATTCCCCACGGCATCCACCACCTGCTCTCCACCCAGGACTGGGCTGCAGCAAGCTGGGACCCCTGCCTGTGCCCACAGCCCTGTGCCCACTCCAGACTCAGGGTCCAAAAATGCCTCCCACGCCCCCTCCATCTCATCCCAGATCACGAGGCCCCCAGCTCTACCACGCCGCCCACCCTCTGACGCCAAGGATGGAAAAGAACCCCACGCTGCCCGGGGCTCCAGCTGCCCTCCAGGCTATGCACAGACCCGAGGGCCCGGCACACCCGAGGGCTCAGCCGGGACTTCGCTCCCCAGCTCCCAGCTCAGCCCCCATCTAGTCCACAGCCCACCCGTCTTCCCATCCCGGCTCCTCCGGCCCCTGCCACATATTCTTCACACAGAAGAGCTGCTCAAAGCCAATTTGCCCAAAACCAATTTACCAAATAACTCCATCCCTGAAAACGGTCAAACACTTCAAAGCAGAGGGACCCTGGCCCACGGTCTGCATCCAGCTGACAACAGCCCTGGTCTGCAAGACACCACAGTAGGAAAGGGTCAGCAGATGCGGACCCAGCAGCCAGGACAGCAGCGACGCTCTGCCCCTGCGGCCACCAACACTGCCACCCCTGCAGCATCACCATGAGGGGCAGACAGTGCAGGGGACAGGGCTCCCTGGAGGGGGCCAGGCTGAGCAAGGGGCCGGCGCCCACGTCATCGCCTGCAGCACACACCACCTCCCCGAACGGGCAGTGGGCACAGCAGCTGCGCCCGGCCTGCCCAGGGCACCCCCACAGCCACTGGCCCTGGCCCCGGGGCTCAGCGACCCGCCCCAGCAAATCATTCCTACCGTGGTCCTGCGGCCTCCCAAGCTAGGCCAACTGCACCCTCTTCTGGTCACGCAGTGTCATGGCAGGTTGGCTGCTCCCGGGGTCCCCTCCACCGGAGCCTCCGGCGTCCACAGTGCACACTGCCTGGCACATGCATCTCCACACACACCCACTACACGACTGAACACACATGACTCCACTCAGACGCTCTCTGTTCAAAGACCATCATGGGGACACCTCTGCTTGGGAAACCTAAGCTTCCCAGGAGAAAGGGACCGAGCTGGGTCCGCCGAATCCCACGCTGACGCCAGGCACAGACAGGTCCCCAGGGGGCTCCAGGCCTACCCTGCAGCACCAGGAGGCCCAGCCCTACAGGCAGGCAGGCAGCGGGCACCCACCAGGTCCCCAGGGGGCTCCGGGCCTGCCCTGCAGAATCAGGAGGCCAGGCCCCACAGACAGGCGGGCAGCGGGCACCCACCCAGTCCCCACGGGGCTCCAGGCCTGCCCCACGGCATCAGGAGGCCCAGCCCCGCAGGCAGGCGGGCAACGGGCACCCACCAGGATGCACCCGCCCCACATCCCTCCACCCATCTCTGCCCAGGCAACGCAGCCTCCTCTTCAAGCCTGTACTGCCAACATTCGCCAGATGGCCCCTCCCTCAGGGCTCCTAGAAAGGGGCTGCCTGTGCCCCTAATGGCATGCTGTGACCACACTACCCTCCACAAAACTCCACATGCCTGGCATTGGACGGGGTGCTTGAGACACATGGTGCCCAGGCACTTGTCCCACCTGAGAAGCCCCAGCCACAGGTCTCACGAGCTTGCTTTATTGAAGAGGAAACAGGCTCAGAGAGGTTAAGTGCTTTGCAGAGGGTCACCAAGCTGTTGGGCACAGACCCAGATCACTCTAACTCCAGCCCACAGCCAGGCCAGCCAGACCCCGCCGGGCTCCACACAGTCCCCACGCACGCCTGTGAGAAACCCCCCAATGGCTCGTGACCAAGGGGCAGGCCCCCACGGCCCTCCGTGGGCACAGACTCTCGGGAAGGAGATCTAAGGAGAGCTGGGAGGCCCCAGGACCATGGGACCAATGTGAGCACGTCACAACGCACACCAGGGATGCCAGAAGGCTCCTGGGCAGACTTCTGAGCCCCCGGCCTCGCAGGAAGAGCCCCGAAGACCACCCTGAGCTCCACACTGAGGACACAGCATGACACTCTCCCCACAGAACTCCACCAGCCTCGCCAGAAAGAACACAGACAAGCCACTTCGGGACTCACGTTGCCGCCTAAAATGACTCCCAGTGATTTAGCCCATTTCTAGAATTCCCTGTACTTGGGCTTCCTTTCTTCATTTCAGAAAATGCCTCCTAGGAAAAAAGCTCAAAACGTAACTTGCAAATACACCGTCCTGGGCAGGCTGGTTCCAGATCTCTGAGGAAAACAGAGGCAGGAAGCCTCTCGAGCACCGGTGGGGTACCTAGCTCTGTGCCGGGGGCTTTGTGAGCGTTTTTCTCCCATGATCACATGACACAGCTATGACGGTGAGCTTTACAGATGACACAGCGGACTCGGAGGGGGAGGGTCAGGCCAGGTGACCAGCGACCCGCAGCAAAGCTGGATTCGAAGCCACGTCCCTCCCAGTCCAAAGCCATTTTCTTTCCAGGAAGCTTCTGTTCAGCTCGTTTTTCTTTGGCACCTACTACGTGTGGTGCTTTCCTAGCTGCCGAGGACGCTGAGGCAGAGGGACACAGAATGCAGCCCGTGGGGGCTGGAGACAGGGCACAGACAGGTGCGACACACCCGTTACCCTACACACTTGTGGATATGGCGACAGCTCACTGCAATTCTGCATTACTTCGGTAGCTTTTAAAATAGAACTAACAATGAAAACCAGAGTTTCCGGGTAAGCCAGAAGTCCCCAGCAGGGCATCCACAGGCCTCCCTGGTCTTGGCTCCCCAATTCCCCAGCCTCAGCCCCTCCCCCATCGAGCCCCTCAAGGTCTCCTATGCTTAGAGCCAAGCCCGCCCTTCCACACCCTCCTTCCCAGGTGACCTTCCCTCCCAGGCGGGGCTGCTGTCCCTCCCACTGGGTTCCCAGAGCACTGGTGTGCCCCCAGGGGTCCCACCCTCACAGGCCTGAGCCCGGGGCTGCAGTGTCTCCATCCACACTGTGCTCACCCTGAAGCCAGGGCTGGACCCACCTACCTCTGTGCCCCCTGGACCCAGCCCAGTGCCTGGCACAGAGCTGGCATCGCTCAACACTCAACAGGGGTCACAGAGGATGTCCCCGAGTGCCCGGGGCTCGGGCAGGGCCCGCCTGCCTCTGCCACTGATGGCTCTCGCTCAACGACCTCTCCCGCCCAGGCCTCCAGTGTCTGCATGTCCTCACCGCCCCCACGACGGATAAGCACTGGCATCCTCTGGCGGCATGGGCATGGTGGGGGGTGGGGCAGAATGGATCAACGATCCATGGGGGGGACACCAAGAACCAGCTCCTGAATGCAACCAAGAGAATCACAGAAATTCCCAACAAGAAGGGGTCACCCTGCCACGACAGCCACCTCACGGTTTCGAAGAAGAAAACATCCCAGCAGGTCACTCCTAAGAGCACCTGGAAAGAGCAGGTGCACTCAAGTCTTACCCTGAAGGTTTTATCCATAGAAGCTGAGAGCAGCATGTGGCTCTGAGAAGGTACTGGACACCACTGGACACCGTTGACAGGGCCACGGTGGCCTCTCAGATGGAAGAGCACACTCCTGGGAATCTTGGTTTCTTTATACGGGCTGTCCAAATACGGCTGAATAAACTCGGACACTCTGGAGGCAACGCAGAGCGGGGCCGGGGCTCGCCGGGCACAGGGGCCCCGGGCCTCTGCCTCGTTGCTCTTGCCTGTTTCGGCACCTACTGCTTGCAACTGTCTGAGTCTTTTCGGGGTGTAGGGGATGACGCAGTCCTCACGCCTTCTCCTCTGCAGGGAGCTGCCGTTTGTCCCTGAGGTGTCACATTTGGTTTGGGCACAGAAAGACAGCTCAGGGGAGCCGGCAGTCCCCCAGGAGGGTTTTACCTGTTTAACATGGGCAGCTGCCAGGGGCACGTGGCCGGCCGGAGTGTGGCTGGCCCACAGGGAAGGACGAGGAGGCTCGTTCGTGGGGAAGGTGACTTCGGGCTCCGTCCTGGGCCACTGGAGCCTCCGGCTGGGGCAAGACCCCGGGTCACTTCTCCAGAGCCGAGCCAGCGGGAGACGATGGCCAGCTGGGTCTTCACAAGAACCAGGCTTTGTGGCCAGTGCTCCCCCTTCCGTCACGTCCAGGCCTCCGGGTGCAAAATCCTGCCCTCGGGGTTTGACCACATCGCGAGTGTCCGTCATCTGGCTGGTGGCATTAACACTTCCCGCAGCCTCGGTCTCGGCCTCTGAGTCTGAGTCATCATAAGCCACCAAAGAAGCCATTGAAGATGCAGTTTCTTGCTGTCCTTTGAGGGCAGACTAACCTAAGACCCAACAGAGTCAAGTGTCAGAAAACACGCATGGAAGCATATTTACCCCCACATGTAGTTAAAAGAAAACAGGCCAGCTAGGAAGTCCCAGACTGAAAAGCCCCTAAGAATAAACACATACAAAATGAGGGCTTTTCCACACACCATGCATAATTAGTTAGAAGAGGTAATTTCTTTTTTTTCTTTTTTTTTTTGGCTGAGGAAGATTCACCCTGAGCTAACATCTGTGCCAACCTTCCCCTACTTTGTATGTGGGATGCTGCCACAGCACAGCCGTTAACAAGTGTTGTAGGTCCTTGCCTGGAAATTGAACCCACAAACCCAGGCCGCTGAAGCAGACCATGCTGAACTTAACCACTGTGCCATGGGGCCGGGTCCTAGAAAACGTAATTTTTAAAAATGAAAACTATGGAATATCTGGGAACAAATTTAACAAAAAAATCAGCAAGACCTACATGAAGAAAACTAAAACTTTATCGAAAGACATAAAGAGGACCTGACTAAATGGAGACCCAGTGCCAGGACAGAAAGACTCAGGACTTCGAAGACGCCTTTTGGAAGGCCGATTTGAGGGTGTCTGTTACAAATTAAACACATGGTTTTCACTGTATCAACCACACTGTAGAACGCTATCCTACAAATGCTAGCACATGTTTGCAAAGATAGATGCATAAAGGGAGCGGCAGGAGTGGTCATTAGCAACGGACGAGAAGCATGTCCACTCATCAACACGCCCCAGGGCAGGTCGGAAAGTACGGAGAGGGAAAGACGTGTGGCCCCGGCTGGGAAGAGCACGCCACCCGCACCTTCGTCCTCCTCGAGCCGCCGTCCTTCCCTCCATCCTCTGGGCCCAGCACGCTCTCCCCCCCCCACCCCATCTCAGCCACAGGCCAGTGGGAGAGCCCCACCAAACACCAAGACGCCGAGGTGTCTGAGGCGACAGTCCACCCAATTCTGAGGGTGTGATCCAAATCCGCCAGGTTCCCTCTAAACACACAGACTCACAGGGCACTGAATGTCCCCTTTCTAGAACCATCATCCACGAAAAAGTGTTGCCAACTAGCTTCTGGAAAGAAGTGCTTCAGTGTGGAGGTCAATTCTGTGCTGCTAAGTCAGCCTGCACGCAAGAGGAAATCAAGGCTGCGGGGCACGTCCGGGACAGCAGAGGGCGTGCAGGAGCAGCGCTGACAGCTCGGGCAGCAGACGACTCCTGAGCACGCCCCTTGTGCGCCACCTTAATACACCACCAGGAGCCCCTCCTCCCACGTGTGGGGTGAAGTCAGCGCCAGAAGATTCCCTCTGCCGTTCCAGACAGCCTGTCTACCACCCACCTCTTCCCCTGGACAGGGGGTTTCACGTCCCCTGGAATCAAGCAGCCCACCCCCTCCACGCCTCTCCCCTAAAGGATGGCATATGCCTGAAGGGCGCCACTGCCAACCCCGTTAGGTCATCCTTCAATACACGTCTGTGGCCTGCCACCTCCAAAAACCCCACTGTCACCTGCAGCCCAGTCCAGGCAGGACCGCCTTCACACCCAAAGCCACTGTCTAAATGAAACTTCTATCACGGGCCAGCCCATCTCAAATGGAGCTACATTATAAAGGACTAATTATGAACTGATGGAACTGTGCACCGCGAACGTGCTGGCATTTCTGTCCTCTGAACGTTTAGCCTGGTCCCGAGGCCCATCCTGATCAGACATCTCACCTGTCTCAACTCCTGTGACCAGCAACACCCACCCAGCATCCCCATTCCTTCCTGTCAAAGGGAACCCACTAGGCTCCCACCACCAGAGCGCCTTCTTCAGCCAGTAGGATGGATTCCCATCCACCCCGTCATCCACAGCAGTCGACTCACAGGAGAGGCCGATGGCCGGAAGTAAAGACGAGGTCTATAGCAGAAGATCCACGAGTAGCGGCCTTGGGGCCCATTAGTCCCACTTCCCAAGCAGGCAGGGCAGCAAGGACTGAACAAAGGCAGAGGGTGCACAGTAGGGCTCCCCACACTATCTGCTTCATGTACATTTTGTTCACTCATTCAACAAACATTGACGGACCATGGACTACTCGCCAGGCCCCGCCCCAGGCATCAGGAACACGGCGGCCAACGAGCCAGTAAAGGATGCCCTGGGCTCAGCACGCTCACACGCCAGTGGGGAGAGACAGCCCAGAGTCAAGGGAGACAGAGCATGTCAGTGGTGAGAAATCCTAGGGAGAAGAGTAAGAGAGAGAAGGAGAGCAGGGCGGCGGGGGGCTTGGGGCTGCGGTGTCATAGGGGGGCCGAGGACGGCCTAGGACAGAGGCGACACCCGAGCAAGGCTGTGGAGGAGGTGAGGGCGCCAGGTGGTCAGCAGCATCACAGACTGACCAGCAAAACTCATCCAATAGGGCGACAGGGGAGGCAAGGAAGACTCAAGGGGAACAGGCGAAAAAGAAGATCGGGAGCCACCGAAAACAACAGAAACTTCAGGAAAAAGGCGTTTGCTGCCTTTTATGTTTCTCAGACAACAGACTTTTTTCATGGAAAGAGGGGGGTGATTAAACCAAGAGAAGTACCGCTAGAAGGAGCGGTAAGGTCATGGGAGACAGGAGGCTACGGAGGGGGGAGTGGCGCTGACGGCCACTCGCATGTCAGCTCCGCGAGGGCAGGATTGCTGTGTTTTGTTCACTGTTCGATCCCAGGCATCTAGAAATATTTGTGGAACGCAACCTGGCGGGAGGGGGGCACAAAGAAAGTCAAAGAAATAGGCTCTTCTCATCCAATCAACATTTCCTGATTACCTACTCTGTGCCAAGCCTTATGTTCTATCTGGCGTGGACAGAGATTAAACACAAAACACCGATCCTGCGCCGGAGGCCACGGACTGATGGAGGCGACAAACCAGGTACGACCGGAGATGGGTTTCGAAGGGTGAATAGGAGTTAGCCGAGCTGTCAAGACTGAGAGGCAAAGGATGGGCCAGGGCACTGCGCGCTCGGAAGGAACCGGAGATGAAGGACAGGCGAGCGGCGCCGAAAGGCTTGGAGCGCTCCAGCCGCTGCCGGGCCCCAGCCCCCTCCCGCCCCCGGCCCGCCGCTCACCGCACGCACCGGAAGCGCTCGGTTCTCCCGGAGGCCGTCGGGACTGCACTCCTCCGGCGTTCCGCCGCGCCGGGGGTCCGCCAGCCAATCAGCGGCGGTCTCCGCCCCGCCCCCGAGAGAACAGCCAGTGACGGCGCAGCCGGGCCGGAAGTTGTTCTGGCCGGACGGCGTTTCCACGGACGCCGTGGAGGGCCCCTTGGGTGAGCCTGCCTGGTGGATGGGGCGGCTGGGCCGGTAAGTGATGGGGTGGAGGCGGGGAGGGAGGGAGGCCCACCGGGCGGCGCCCGACGACCTGGCCCCTCCGAGGCCACCTGCGCGCCGGCGCCCGCCGTGCGGTCCCCGAGCCCGGGCCGGCGCCACGAGGGGCTCTGCCGCGGCGCCATGGCCCCGTCCTCCGAGCGCCGCCGAGCCTGGGTGGCCTCCCTCCGCTTTCCTTGCCCCACGCGGAGAGGCCCCCCCTTTAACGAGGGTCTGCCGTGTGCCGGGGGGGGTTGCCCGCGGGACCGCACTTAGCCCCCACGGTGAATTTAGGAGGCTTCTCTGTGCCCGTTTCGCAGCCGGGGAAGCCGAGGGGGAAGCAGAGGGGATGCGATGGCCCGAGGTCCCGAAACAAGAAAGTGCCCGAGCTGGGGTTAAGACCCAGGTCTGTCTGACCTCGGAGCTCATCCTCTTTCCCCTGCAGTGCCCCGCCTTGTTGACAGCCGCAGGGACTTTACAGCCCGCCTCCCCCTACACACATGAGGTCTCATGCCGATGCTCAGGGTGGGGAACGAGAAGAGGGCGGGGAGAGCAGATGGGTAGCCTGCCTGCGGTATGCGGCGGCTGATGCAATGACCGGCAACAGCTAGGTTCTCGGGGGAGTTTCGTTGGTCTCCACCCGCTCCCCTCACCGCCCCCCCCGCCCCCCGCAACCCACCCTGATTGAACAGAATCAAAGAAGTTGGTCAAGAGACTCAAGTATTTCTGGGAAATGGGGTGGTTTATAAGAAACTCCTCCGTTGATGTAGCTGAAGGGTGGGGTAAACAGGAAAAAAATAAAGAGACTTTTCTAAAAATGAAACTGAAAGAAAGAGGGGAAAACTATTAAAGCAGGCGTTTGGCTGCACAGGGTCCCACTTCTCTGCTGCCCAGCCGGACTAGTGGCCACCTCTGCAGTGTCTGCCGCAGCCTGGGTATGTATTGCCATCTTTGCCGGACTTAGAGCTTATTAGTATTTTTACCAGCCTTTTACCAAAGTGCTGGAAACCTTAGCTCAGGTGATGAGGGGTTGTCTCTCTTAGGATCAGGGTGTGGTGCATTTTATTTCATCCCGTTGACCCAAAGCTCAGGTGATTCACAGCTTCCGGAGGGAAGGGGGATACCGGGGGAGCAGTTGTCTGCCGAATTCATAGCTGGACTTTCAGCGCTTGCATCTTGGCTGTCAGGCTTTTCACTGCTGAGGCTTCCTTAAATAGTCAACATCCAAACATGTTAGCATTCTCATTGTGACACTCGAAAGTATCTTATGGCTGCCTTCATATAAATTATCTTCTTTGCCTTTCAAGGTAGTGCTCATTTTGTTATTTAGAGGGAAAAATAACCTTTCCTCGCAGTGGTTAAGAAAGAAAAAGTGGACATAAACTGTTCCAAGGTTTGAAGTGTTAGAGAACTCCTTGCTCTAAAGAAATCATTTTCTTATGCTCTGGGAACTTGACAGTCCAAGGCCATTGTCCCCCGCACCCTGAGGCCAGGATTGAGGATGGGATCCCACCTCCTGGTGGTGTTCCAGAAACTCCTGTGTCACCTGCTCCTCCAGAATTGGCTGTGTTGCTGCCGCTCTCCCCTACACTGCAAAACTGACGCGTTCTGCTCTCCCTGTGAGTTGATTTCTGCACGCCCCACGTCATTGTCGTGTGGTTCTGTTAAACGGTTCTGTAAGTCTTCCTTCCATTTCTCATCCCAAAACTGTACCCAGTTTCTTCAAGTGCCTCTTATGCTCCTCCAGAACAAGGGAACCTTTCAAAATGAGCATGATGCAAGTTCTTTAAAAAGAGGGACTGCGAATTCACAGCCTTTTAGCTTTCTCTTTCTCTTTCGCTTTTCTCTGTAAAGGTGTGCTGTGATCCTCTGTGGAATATGCAGTTTTGCTCTTGATACTTACTGCCAGTACTTTTTTTAGAGGAGATAATAGATTACTTCACAGATCATAGCTTCATTCCTTTGTTTTAGATTGTAGTATTTGTTAAATAGACAAAGCAGCTTTGCTTAAAAAGATTCAAAGCCCTATTTACAGATTATGCAGTAACATACTGATGTGTGTGCAAGCTATTGATGTCGTTTCAGAGGTTCTGAGCTCTGGGTTAAAAACCTCACAAGTTAAACTTAGTTCTAAAAGTTAGTTAACAAAGAAATAAAGGAGGATGTTAACTAACTGGGAGAAAAAGGAGAAGCAGCATGTGATAAATGGGGTAAGTGGATGAAAGCATGAAGTGAGAGAGATGACAGTTCTCTTCTTGTCTCTGACCACTCCTGGAGAACTCACTCAAGAGGTTGCATCATACACACACAGATTTATAGTGTGGGACGTTCCCACACAGTGAGTGTGCCTTGTGTGAGCAGAGAGCAGGGAGACCCTGTCTGCTGTTCCCTCAGTCAGATTTGGTTCCCGTGTGCCTCTTCTTAAATGGGGTTCTGATATTTAAAGATAAGTGTTTTTCCCTACAACCTGGACCCAAAATGCAGATCCAGTTCATCTGGCTGATCCTCTGCAGGTACCTGCTCCATTGCAGGGGGAGATTGGCTGTCCAGGGCTCACCCACTCATTCGACCTGGCACTTTCCCTAGGAATTTGTAAGGGTGATTTTAATCTGTGCTTGATTTTGGTCCTACTCACAGACTTCAGAAACTTGCTGATGCCGCCTGTTGCCTTCTGTAGAGGACACCATGTTTTTGGAAGGATGGGGAAACCAAAGGGAATTCCAAAAAGAGTGACCAGGATGGTAGGCAGATGTTAGCAATGTGTGAAAAAACCAGACTGGGGATGTGAGACCTGGAGAAGATGCCATGAGCTCAACCAGGCTCTTCCCAAATCTCAGAAGGCTCAGCACATGTCAGGACGTTAATCAAGAGGACAATATTTTGATCCTTAATGCTTTCTATCGAAAGATTAGAGATCGAAAGGGGGAAATGACAAATAAAAATGGCAAGCAATAGGATATATTGGAGAATATGAGGAAGCCATTTGGTATAAACCTAATTCGGCCTGACCTTGTCTTTCCGAAAGGGCCTGACCGTGGCTGTTGAGCATGCATTGTATATCTGCTTTAGACATTCCCTATGGCAAGAACAAAGGCCCTTGAGATAAAGGTGCGACTTCGCTCCTGCTCCCAACATTGGCATTTCTTTAAGGATTAAGCATCTTTCCTTAGGCTAGAAACTGATTGCTGCGCTCACCTGTGACTGCCCAGCTCCAGACAATAGACTTGCCTCCTGCTACGCCCGCTGAGATAGCAGACCCACTACCTGCTGTGTCCATCAAGCGCTTTGCGACAGGCAATCTTGTGACTATTGTGGGAGGGACATTTCAATCATATGTGAAATAACCTGTTTGGGGGTATATAACTACTCTGTGCACCCCACTTCTTCGGTGCCCTTTCTTCCTTTGGGAAGAAAGGCCCCAGGCCATGGTCCTCAGATTTCAGCTCAGAATAAACTCACCCAAATTTTCATTTATAGATTGGTTATGGATTATTTTCATCGACAACAAGAGGCTGCTAAAGTCCAGGGCAGAATCTACCTGAAACTGGAATGAGCATTTGCAAGGATAGTGAAGAGGATATAAACCTTAGGGGGAAGATTGAACCTAGGAGATTTATTCATTCAGTAAATGTTCGTTGATTAGCTTCTGTGGACCAGGTTCTAGAAGCACATGAAAGAATAAAACCCGGTGCTTGCTTTTGCTGTCTAATGGAGAAGACAGAAATAACTAAATGCAGCGTGAGCGCCCTGGTAAAGTTACTCACGGGATGCTCTGGATGCTCGGGGCTCGCCCAGGGCAGGGCAACCATTTGACCCCAGAGGGGAGGGTTCGGGAAAGGCTGTGAAGAGGAGCTGAGGTTTGAAATTACTAAGACAGCCGGCAGGGTGCAGGCAGAGGAGGATGTAAGGCGTTCGGGGTCGGGGGAGGGGGCAGCAACTGGAATTCTGAGACAGCCCATGGTCAAGGGGGGCTTTGGAAGCAGATCCTGTTTAGCTCCCCTGGTGGGGTGACCTCAGAGGGCCGCTGTTACCTCCCTGAGCGGGCAGCCTGTCGTCCGCTAGTGCAGGGCGTGTGCTTTGAAGCTGGGAGACTCTGGGTCGTGTGTAAAGTATCTGGGCACGGTGTTTGGTCGTCTGTGGCTAGAAGTAGTTCTCATTGCTTGGATTGTTATTTGATGTGGAACTGTGTGTGTCCTCTCAGCCTAGGCAGAAGGTTCTTCCGCATTCCTTCTCTTCTCCCTAAACTGAGCTTTCTTATCTGGGGCAGTTATCTCAGCCAGCTTCCCTTTCCAGGAATTGAGGTGGTTCTCAGCAAGGTGGGGGGAGAGCTGGCTGCTCTCACATTCTGCTTTTAGCATCATGGTTTCAGTGGCTTATGTAAAAATTGGTTTGTTTAAATTTACATACTTTCTAAACAAATATCTAACAAATAGATAAATAAAAATAATTACCCCTCAAATTTCTGTTTGGTTCATAGAGTTACTAGGAAAAAATCTTAAATGACTAAAAATACGAAATAGTCTTTTATGAATCCTCTCCTGTGGGGCTGATGCTGTGCCAGACTCTGGACCCACCTGCGTTGTTGCCTGTGATCCGGGCTCCAGGCCTGCACGGTAGTTCTGGTGGCTGTTCCCATTTTACGGTTGAAGCAGAGGCTCGTTCCAGTTAAGTGACTGTCTGTGATGTTTGAGAGTGGGCTCCAGGGTCAGGCTGCTTGAGTTCGCATCCCGTCTCTACCCCTCACTTGCTG